ATTTTTCCTAATTAACAACTAACTCTAAATTTTAGAGTTAAAAGATAATAAAAATAATCTAAAATGTTTTATGTTAGCAGGAGCATTTAAATAAAGTAAAACATCACATGGCATTATATGAATTATCACGAAAGGTTTAATTACTAAAGTTGACTTTATTGTAAATCACTTTCAAATTATCAGTGCCAAAGCTATACAATTTCAGGAATCAGCATTACCATTCAGTTAACTATTGCTGCATAACAAACCATTCCAAAACTAAGTAACTTCAAACAGCAAAAATTTTATTTCTCAGATTCTGTGAGTTGGCTATGGTTTCTTCTGCTAGCCTTGCCTGAGAGCCACAATCAGCTGGTGGGTCGACTGAATCTAGAGGATCTAAAATAGGTTCACTCACATGTCTGAGGTCTCAGATGAGGTGGCTAAAATGTTGAGACCTTTGTCTCGTTGTGATCACTCATCCTCCACTAGGCTAGACTGAGCTTTTGTATGTGACAGCTATGTTCTAAGAAAGCAAGCTCAATGCATAAGCTCCTTTCAGGTGTCTGCTTACATTATGCTTCTTGATGATCCATTGGCTAAATCAAGTCACGTGGGCAAGCATGAAGTCCTTGTGGGAGAGAACTACACAAGGGTGTAAATACCAGGAGGTGAGATTTATTGGGGACCATCAATGTAACAGTCTATCACAACCTTTTTACTATATACAGGACACTCCTAAGAAAGTGAGTGTGATGTGGGGAGATGGAATAAAATAATGCACAAAACAGGATGACAAAACTTCCAGTTTGGGTCCAGCAAGTAAGGAGCTTAGAAGTTGCCACACTATCCTAACAGCAAGCAAAAAGCTAAACAAACTGAAAAATCAACAACCGATGGATCTAAGAATTTGTCAGAGAAGTGAGGTCACAGGGCAAACTCTTTCTCCCAAAATTAAAGAGACAGGCAGGCAGACACAGAAAATCAGAACTTATCAGAGTGGAAAACTACTACCAGACATCTCTGCAGGAACAAGTACTGAGGTGGAAAAACGTGAACTGAAATTGATGAATTCCTGAAGGCTCAGTGTGGACACATCTGTGAGTTAAAAACTTCAGGGAGACACGGTCATAGAGAGGCCCTCACACTTTTATGAGTTTTACCTCTAGAAGCTCTACCAGGTTTTTACTGAAGACTGGAGAAAAACCAACCTGATGCAGAAAAGGAGAAAAGTAGCCATTTTGAAATATGACAGAGCATTCTGTTCTTAACAAGGTCTACTCTCAGGAGAAACTATTTTACCCCCTGGAGTATTATTGGAGATTAACAGACCCTGGGGAAAGGGAAATACCCACCTCCAGCATGCTCTCACCTTCCACATGGGGGAAGAAAATACTCAACTCCAGCCCCATCTAGCGCTCCATGTGAGAGAAGGAAAATAGCTAACTCCAGCTTGTTCTAGCCTTCCATGTAAGGAAGGCAAACACCTAATTCCAACCCCCTCTGGCCATCCTGTCCTGCCTAAAAGGAAACAAAAAAATCTGTGAAGCACTAGTGACGTTCACAATCCAGGCACAGAGAGAGACTATCAGACTGCCCCCAAAACTTGCCACTAAGTTGCTAAATGCCTATTACTGTAATTCCTTTTACCCTGACCATCATGTCCAGATTTCAGCAAAAAATTACGAAGTATACTAAAAGGCAAAAAAGAGTTGAAGAGGCATAACAACCATGAGAATCAGACTCAGATGTGTCAGGAAGATTGGAATTATCTGACCAGAAATTTATAACTACTAAGAATAATATGCTAAGGGCTCTAAGGGATAAAGCAGACAGCACGTAAGAACAGATGGACAATGTAAGCAGACAGATGGAAATTTTAAGAAAGAATCAGAAAGAAATGCTAGAGGTCAAAAACAGTAACAGAAATGAAGAGTGCCTTTGATAGACTCATTAGTAGATGAACACAGGTGAGGAAAGAACATCTATATTGAGGATATGCTAATGGAAACATGGCAAAACAGAAAAACAAAGAGAAAAAAGACTGGGGGAAGAAACAAACAAAAGACATTCTCCAGGAACTGTAAAACAACTACAAAAGGTATAATATACACATAATTAGAACACCAGAAAGAGGAGAGAAAAAGAAATAGAAGAACTATTTGAAGCACCGGTGACTGACAATTTCTCCAAATTAATGTAAGACACCAAATCACAGATTCAGAAAACTCAGAGAACAAGAAGCAGGGAAATGAGCTTGTCTGAAAGGTCTTGTTTGTCTGCCCCATGTGGGTCCTTGGACTCGGGCTTCCTATACATGAAGAGGATGGTCCTGTAGAAGACGACCACGACTGTGAAGTGGGCAGAGCAGGTGAAGAAGGTCTTTTTCCTCCTCTCAACTAAGGGCATCTGCAGGATGGTAGCAGTGATGAACACACAGGAAACAAAAATGAACAGGACTTGGATTGCAAGGAAGATCATATTAACCACAACCATGCTGATCACATTGATGGAGATGTCAGCACCAGCCAACTTCAGGACAGCCAGGAACTTACAGGTGAAGTGGTTGATGACATTATTGCCACAGAGGGGCAGCTTCATGGCAAGGGATGTTTGGACCATGGGGGTAGCACTCCCAGCAGCCAAGGAGCTGGCAGCCATAGGCATATAGGCAGCCTTGCTCATGACCACAGAGTATCTCAGGCAATTGCAGATGGCGACGTAGTGACCAAAACCCACCATGCCCGGAAGCACACACTCTGTAGCTCCATGGCAAAGGAGAGAAACATCTGGGCAGCAGAGCCTGAGAAAGGGATAGTTTTCCTGGGAGGCAGGAAGCTGTTGAGAATGAGGGGGACTGAGGAAGTTGTGTAGCAGATGTACAGGAAGAAGAGATTTCCCAGGAAGAAGCACATGGGTATGTGCAGGTGAGAGACAGACACAGTTACAGGATGAAGACCCCGTTGCCCAGCAGAGTCACCAGGTACATCAGCAGCATGAGCACAAAGAATTCTCCAGCTTTGGGTGGGCAGAGAGGCCCAGGAAAATGAACTCTGTCATGGAGGCAGTCTCGTTGGCACATTCCATGGTGCATCTCCTCTTTCAAGTGAAGAAAATACTCAGAGATCCAAATGCAAAATTCTTTGCCTCACATAGGTCCAGGGCATCTGCTCTGGAGTTCCAGTCAGGCTGAGGGATTTGCAAACAGTACTGAAAGTCCACAGTCTCTATGTATTTCTAGGAAAAAGGAGCAGTAATATCAGAAGTTACTTTGGGGCCATAAGACTTCACATTTACAACAGTTAAAATGATGATTCTGATAATTTAATGCATTTCGTTGGAGACAAGATGCATAGCACATTCATTTTAGTGGTTCTGTGTCTTGTATGGCAGTTCCTCTCATTAAACTTTGATCATAAAAGTTACTTTCAGTTGCTCCATGTTCTCCCACTTTGTGCCAGGTACTAGTGAAACGATTAGTTGTGAATACTCACTTTATTTCTTCTCTCCAGATCATTCTCACAGAAAACACACTCCTGTTGTTTCCAAAATCTCCTTTCTCATGGGCAACACCAGCTCCAGGGCTTTCCGTACATCTGTCCATACGTTCATCCATCCATCCATCCATCCATCCATCCATCCATCTGTGTCTGAACATCCATCCACAAAATACTTGTTGATCACCCAGTATGTGAGTATGACAATTCCTCTGAGGAACAGGGGTGACCCACAGCCCAGGCTTAAGTGGGTTTACAACCTGGCAGCGAGGGGAAGCAGAAGGGTTCAGGAGAAGCCAGAGCATCCAAAAGGGGACTCAGGGTATTGATGGGAACAGGGGTCATGGAAGGCTCCTTTGATGGTATAGAATCCAGCTGCACATTTAAAGACAAAAGGAGACTGGACATGGAGAGATGCAAGGGAAAGTGAGGAGGTCTCCAAGGTAACTCCCTGCTCTGGAGATACTGAGATGTACCAATAGTTTGAATCTGATGTTCCACGAAGATAGATGGAGGACTGGCTCGAAAAAGCCACAGTGGATCACAGCTTCTGGAAATCTAGTTTCCTTAGGTAACTAAAGCAGTGCTTTTCTTTCTCATCATACTACTTGATCACCTTTCCTCTGGGTGAGTGTCCACATAGGAATCAGTGGATATTAACAGTCCTTGAGCCTTTTGGCTCAGCTGCTAGATACGTTACCCAGACTAATATCCTGTCACTGATTATGCTCCCCATTAATTTAGTCCAACCCTCTCTCCCATTCTAGATCTTCTACACCACGCTGATGCATGCCTTTTCAGTTCAGCTTGATCTCTTGTAACAATGAAGAGTTCACTGTGTTCCCAAACATCGTACTCCATATTTGCAGAGCTCTGTAATATTAGAAAATTCTTCATATTGAACAAAGCAGGCAGCTTTCTGAGTTTTTCTCATTCATATGATGGTCATTCAGCTTCCCTTTGGAATTGCATTGAATTTGTGGAAAGTTGTCAGGTCTATAAGCCCAGAGACTGGGGCTGTATTCTACTTAACCTTCTAATCTACTGCATAGAGTTCAGTACTTTCGTCCTTCAGTTAGACTGTGAGGTTACCATGGTCTGTGCTGGAATTGGAAGAGATCAATGATGTTCAAACTCCTTAAAAAAGAGAACTTTTGTTTTCTTAAATTCAGAACCCTCAAATATAGAGCAGAGCTGCTCTTATTGATGTGGGCAAGGAGGGCTCAGAAACTCTGGGCTGCTCAGCCCATGAGGCCCCTCTGATGCCAGGCTACAGTGATGCACAACTCCATGAGACTTCATTTACATTTTTGGTGATGTAAACAGTATAAGGATTACTCTTATAAGAACTCTCACTTACCTTATTCAGGAACTTACTGAGAATGGCTCCCTATAGGTTGGAAACTGTACATGGGCCGGAAGTAGCAACACTAGTGTGAAAGGCCCAGGCTAAGATGTTCACCTCTGATTTGAAGAAGGGGTAAAAATCAGTTTTTCCCACTCTGCCTTAATTCTGTGTTTTAGGCAAAATCTCCAGAGGAACCACCGGTATCTGTAGAAGGCAATTTGAAATCAGCACTGTGATTGGAATTACTGAGTTCCCTGAAGTAATTAAAAGTTTGGAAATGCCATCGTACAAAGTCAGGAAACTTTTTATGCCTCTGGGATAAGGGCCCCAGATCCAATTATGCTGATGGCACTCCAGGAAGACTTTTTTTCCTCCTTCCTTTGCTCCTGCTGGAACTTTGCATTCTTAGGTGACTGAAAGACATCAGGGGAAGCATTTCCATGTCCTGCTTGAATTTCTGCAAACTTCAAAATGCCTAAAATTCTTGAAAAGAGCAGCTGTAGAGATAAGAATTATTTAGGAATGCCATATGTTCATGGCAATATGGAACTAGCAGCTGTGGACACTTGAGGGAACTTCCACCTGGAGCCCTGGGGAGACTTCAAGGAGGAGGCAATTTCTTGCCAGGCTTTGAACAATGGCTGAGAATTTACACACGAAGACACAGGTAAGGGGTGGGAGAAAAGAGAATACCATCTTGGGGACAGAGCTTGGCACAGATCTTGGGCTTGAGTATTTCTTTGATAACCTCAACAAATGATTTGTTTGAAAAGCACTATGGAATAAGAAGTACGCTATAGCACAAAATCCAGTGAAGACATTCTATGGGTGGAATCTGGGATGTGGTAGCAGTCTCTAAGGTGGCCCCCAGTGATTCTTGCCTACTGGTCTTCATGGCCTTGTTATAATACCTTCTACTTTAGTAACTTGTTTCTAACCAAAAGAATACACTCTCTTGCTAGGAACTGAAGGAAGTTGCTGGCCAACAGATAATGAAGAAGTAAGGTCCTCAGACCAACAAACCTCAAGGCACTGAATCCTTCCAAAAACTATGTAAGGGAGCTTAGAAGTAAACCCTTTCCCAGTTGAACCTTCAGATGAGGTCCCAACCATAGCCAACATCTTGATTGAAGTGTTGTGAACGACCCTGAAGCAGAGGACTCAGTTAAACTGTGCTCAGATTCTTGACCCTCAGAAACTGTGAAACAAAACATGTGTATTCTTCTATGCTACTAAGTTTTGGTGTAATTTGTTTTGCAACAATAGATAACTAATACATGGAGTATGCTTATGATCTGTGAGGAAGAAGGTAGGGAAAGGAAGAGGTGTCACATCTAGAAAAAAGTGGTCCAGTGAACAGGAGCTCCCTACTTCCCCAAAAGTCTGTCCTATTTCTGGAAGAAATTAGTGATCAGAAGATATTTCCTCATTTGGACCAAAGCCTGCTTATCTCCCTGCAGCTCCTCCCTGGGTCCTTACTTAGCTCTTGAGGGCCACACAGGACATTGTTGCTTCCTCTTTTGTGTATCAGCCCTTCAAAGATAGGAAGACAATAAATCATCATAGATATGCTCAGTTACACTAAACATGTGATCCTGAACTAAGCACAACATTCCTTCTACAGTAACCCAACAAATAACTAACAGTAACTAAACAGTAATTCAATAAATAGATGATGAAATCATGACTAAAAGCTATCCTGGCAAGCCAGTCTCTGCCATCAGTTCAAGAGGCACAAGGTATCTTGGGCCCTCAGATGACCTGCTTGTGAGAGAAGCCCTTAACTATTCTTTGGAGCAAACAAACAGTAGCAAAGACAAGAACAAGCCCCCAATAGAATACATCTTCCTTTTGTATTGAGGCTGATAGAAAGTTCATTAGACAAATTTGTGGCATGCCAATAGCAGGCATTATAATAGGTCCATACATTTAGACAGACAGACAGACAGATAGATAGATAGTTGTCCACTTTTGGGGGTAAAATTTACTCAGTGAAATGCATAAATTTTAAATGTATCATCCAATGAGTTTTGATAGACGTGCACACCCGTGTAACCCAAATCCTATCAAGTTATAGAGTAGTTCCAACACCACAACGAGTTTTCTCATGCCCCTTACCAGTCAGTACCCAATACCAACCTGCCCAGAGCAATCTCCATTTCTCTAATATTTTTCACCCTTGTTTAATCTTACCTTTTCAGAAACATCATATTAAGAGAATCATACAGTTAGAGTACTTTTGTACAAGTCTTTATTCAGAATAACGTTTTTGAGATTCATCTGTGTTGTTACAGGATTTAGTTGTTTGTCTCTTTTTATTACTGAGTAGTATTCCATTATATGAACATCCAAGTTTGTTTATCCATTCTCCTTGTTAAAGGACATCTGGGCTGTTTCCAGTTTTGGCTGTTATGAATAAAGTCATTATTAACATTCTCACATAAGTCTTTTTGTAGACACGTATTTCAACTTCTCTTGGCTAAATACCTGAGAATGAGATTGCTGGTTCATAGCGTAGGTATATACTTAGTTTTATAAGAAATTAACAAATCTTTTGTCAAAATGTTTGTACCATTTTACATTCCTATCAATAATGACCTTCATTACTATATTGACTAAAAGTGGTGAAAGTGGGCATCCTTATCTTGTTCCTGAATAATGAATTAATTTTTGATATTTTTTCTAGTTCTTCTATCAATTACTAAGAAAAGATATGAAAATCTCCAATTCTGACTGTGGATCTATCTCTCCCTTTAATTATGTCCCTTTTTGCTTCATATTATTTTGAGGCTTTGTTACTAGGTGAACATACATTTATGATTTTCTTGTCTTCCTGATTAATTGACACCTTATCATTATGAAATCTTCCTCTTTATCTCTAGTGGTACTCTTTGTCTTTAAGTCTACTTTATCTGATATTAATATAACCCCTAGCTAACAGTTTGCTTGACATATTTTTTCATCGTTCTACTTTCAACTGTATGTATCTTTATAATTAAAATACTTCTTTTAGACAGAATAGAGCTCAGTTTTGCTTGTTTACCCAGTCTGCTAGTCTATTTTAATTAGCATGTTTAATCCAGTCTCTCTATTTTAATTAGTGTGTTTAATACATTTCTATTTAATATAATCATTAATTAGTTAGGTTTAGATTTAATCTTTTGTTGTTGTTTTCTATTTATCTCATTTTTTTATTGTTGTTCCTCTGTTCCTCCTTTCCTGTAGGCTCTTGAGTTAATTGAATAGTTCTTAGAATTAATTCCATTTTAATTTATCTGTTAGCTTTTTACTTTATCTGTTGGCTATATCTCTTTGCCTTATTTTTTTAGTGGTTGTTCTAGAGATTATTGTATAGATCTGAAACTTTTAGCTGTCTCAAAATTCTTGCTCAAACAAGGATATATAAACCAATCAGGCAAACTAATGAATTAGCCCCAGTGCTAGACTGCTTATAGTAGAATATCCTAGGTACTTGCAACTCAAAGTCTGGTTTATGACCAGTAATGACATTTCTTGAGATCTTGTTAGAATTGCAAAATATTCAGCGCCACTTGAGATTTATTGAACCATAATCTGCATTTTAACAAAATCCCCAGATGGTTCCTATGTCCATTAAAGTTTGGGAAGCACTGTCCTCAGTAATAAATGATATTCTGGAGTAACACAGTAAATATTAGCTATGTCAGAATCCCTATTTGGTGCGGTACATCACATGTTGGAATCTACCACACCATGGTCCTCTTGGGTCAGCTTGAATAGATTTGTTTGTGGCTCAGTTGTGAGCACTACTCCTAGACTGGCCACATCCTACAGCCAGCCGTTTGTTGTACTATCAGTTAGCTGCTTGGCTCTCTGTGTTATTCTAAAACCTGTTATTCACACCTAGCCCCCTCAAAATGGTAAATGCACAATGCCTTTGCTTTATGTAATGCCACATTCATTATTTTCTGTGAAATTTTATCTTATCTCTACCTCCACAGCTGTGTTATACTTTCAATGGAATAACTTCTGGACTGAAATAGTGGCCTTCTTGAAAACCAGACAAGCTGTATCTGGGTCTTGGTGATATGGTCCTACTGTTGGAAATGTAGTGTCACAGGTTGGTTTTCATAGTTAATAGACACTAAGGGATTCAACATGTGAATTTTGGTGAGACACAAACATTCAGTCCATAGCATCCTTCATTCTGTAAAAGCATCCCTGTCTCCTTCTGATGACTAGAATCAGTCATACACCACTCAGATAGTGACTCCTTTCCTTGCCAGTTGGTCCCTTGTCATAAGAAGTCCAAAATGACAGGGGACAGCCATAGTTTAAAGTTTAATAGATAGAAAAGAATAGAAAGTCCAGAAATTAGTCCTTACATTTATGCTCAATTGACTTTCAACAAAGATGCCAAAGCAATCCAATGGAGGAAAAGATAGTCTTTTCAACAAAAAGTGCTGAAACAATTGGATAATCATATGTAAAAAATAAGTGAGACACTTACTTCACACCATACAAAAAATTAACCCAAAATGGATCACAGACCTAAATGTAAAACATAAAACCGTACAACTTCCAGAAGAAAACATAGGAGAAAAATCTTTGTGACCTTGGCCTAAGTAAAGATTTCTAAACAAGACACCAAAATTCATTTTAAAAAACTGACAAATTGTACTACAAAATTAAAAACTTTCAATTTTCAAATGACACCATAAAAAAATAGAGACAAATACAAAAAGACTGAAAATACTTGAAAATTATATGTACAGTCATGCGTTGCTTAATGACAGGGATACATTCTGAGAAATGTGTCATTAGACAATTCTGTTGTTGTGTGAATATTATAAAGTGTACTTATATAAACCTAGATGGTATAGCCTACTACACATCTAGCCTATATGGTACTAATCTTATGGGACCATCATTGCGCATGCAGTCCATCATTGACTGAAACATCATTATGTGGCACGTGACTATATGATAAAGAACTTGTGTTCAGGTTACACAAAGTATTTTTACATATGAATCAACAACAAAAAGACAAACAACCCAACTAAAATATCTTCACCAAAAAGGCATGTGAATGGCTAATAAGCACATGAAAAGATGCTCAACATTAGTAGCTAACAGGGTAATGCAAATTTAAACTAGAGTGAGATACTACTCCACATCCACTGGAAGAGCTACATAGAAAAGATGTGTAGAAACTGGAACTGTCCTATTGCTTGTGGGAATTTAAAAGGATACAGCCACTTAGGAACACAGTTTAGCAGTTTCTTAAGAGTTAAATACATTCGTACTATATGATCTGCCAATTCCACACAAAGTTGTGTATGTAAATGTTCATAGCAGCATTATTCATAATAACCCAAAGGGGAACAAGCCACATGTCCATCAATGGGTGAACAGATAAACTCAAAGTGGTACATACTTATAATGGAATACTATTTCATAATAAAAAGGAGCAAATTACTGATGTATGTTACAACTGGATGAGCCTCAAAAGCATGCTAAGTGAAAGATGCCAGACACAGAAGACTACATATTGTATAGTTCCATTAATCTAAAATTTGCAAAAAAGACAAATCTTTCTAGAAATAAGTAGATTAGTAGTTACCTGGGGCTGGAGTTGGGGACTGATTGCAAATGGGCATGAGAGAACTTTTTGAAATGATGTAGATGTTCTAAAATTGGTTTGTAGTGACAATTGCATGACTGTATAGATTTATCAAAAATCATTGACTTGTACCTTGCAGTAGGTAAATTTTATGGTATGTAAGTTTTACCTCAGTAAAATGCTAAAAATGTTTAATGAGACTCTTTCTGTGTCCCCTGCTAGAAGAAACTCTCCTCTGGGAACTAGGACCCTTAGACTTGCAAAGCCGAGAGTTGCAGTGATGGAAAGCACAAATTCCCCAGTAGGTCACTGGAAGGGATGGTCAGCAGGGCTACTCTTGCTATCTCCCTTGAGTCCTGGACCACGTATTTTGTCTACTGGGGACAGAGTCCCATAAAACATTCATTGATTTAGGGTACATACTGCATTCTGGAGTATGGTGACCCATTCTTGCATAGTATTATCTCTAGGCTGGGACATTAGCTGTGCTTTCAAAAGGTTAGCCATCACTCTCTTGGGCCAGCTACTTCTGGATGGTGCAGTATACGGAAGGACCAGTGGATCCCCAAATCATGATCCCACAGCTACACCTACTTTGATAAATAAATCCCTTGGTCCAATGAGATTCTATGCAGGGTTCCATGTCATTAAGTCAAACTCTCCCTCAGCTTTCAGATGCTGATGTTGGATAATGCCCTGCAGAAAGGACAGGCAACTCAAACTGAGAAGAGGTGTTGATTTTAGTCGAGGAGAATCACTGTCCCTTGCAGAATGGAAATGTCTAATGCAATCAACTTACCAACAAGTGACTGATAAGTCTCTTCCAATGAAGGTTGGTCTCTGTTGCTGGCAGTTTGAACAATCAGCTGCTTAAGTAGCTATATCAGCTTTTGTGAGTGAGAGCCGCTGCTCTTTAGCCCATAGATAGCCTCCTGCAATCAGGGCTACTCTGTTCATTGTACCAATGATAGAGATTGGATGACATCAACAACCTGAGTCATTCTATTTGGTTGTTGAGCCTAGTGGAGAAGATGGAGGCTCTGAAGATGCTCCTGGCACATTGACAGCTAAGGAGCTGAGAGAAACCAGACACAGCTTCAAATACTAAAACCCTGCTGTAAGAGCATTGCTCTGTTCTCTTCAAGGACCTCTCCCACTGGAGAAAGGAACCATGGATCCAGGGCAATTCACAGGTGGAGGTCACCTGAGATAGTTAGTACTCTCACTTTGTTGTGTGGATGAATATACCTGAGATTCTTCAAGAGCAGAGGACATACTTGTGGTCAAGCAATTCTATGTGGGAAGGCAGGGATTTTAACTTAGATCTCCTGTATCACATCATCTCCTGGACATGTTCCAAATTTGCTGGTGATAGAATCTGCCAAAGGCAAAGCCACTGTATTTGGAAGGGAGTAATTGAATACAGGAAGAGCTACACGTTGAGTTCAGAGAAATTGTTTCAAAACTGATTTCTGTAAGACATCTGCCATGCATGATAGCCAGGCACAGGTACAAGTTAGTAGTCATATTAGATGTGATTTTTTTATTGCCCCATCAAAGAAAGTAACAATGTAGATTTGTGAAAAATAGAATCTAGTATAAGGATATAGAGATGTCCTTTGGAAGCAAAAGGTCAGGAGTATGGACAGGTCTAGGAAAAAATGGAAACGAAAAACTGGGAACATATGAAGATGTCCTCATTGTCTCTCATCTTTGATCTTTGGATGTTTTTACGTTCCTCTCTGCAAACTTGGTTTCTCCTTATCTCCCCAGTTCACAGGGTCAAACATGATTACCCCATAGCTCCCAAGTTTCATTCCAAGTTATGAATCCAGTGACTCACTCCCTGGATATTAGTGACAATCCCCAAAACCTGGCAGAAAGAATCTGTTTGGCCTGGGTAGGGTCAGTGTCACACAGCACAAATATGAGTCCTTCATCTCTGTGGATAAAGGAGAGGAATGACTGGGGAAAAGGCCGAGAGAAATGGGATTGTTGCCTCATAAGCTAGAAAGTTAACCAAAAAGGAACTGCACTAAAAAATCGGAATTGATTCAGTTAAGTGTGGTATTGAGCTCTGCCCTCAAGCATCATAGGCTTCCTCAGGGGAGTTATTTGATGTATTTCATTAATAATAAAAATGTTCATTTGTTAATTGGGAGGTTATTCTTTGCTAGCTACTGTCCATTTTTTATATATATGTATACCTCACTTCAATTTCGTCCCCACTGCAACTCCATGGGATTGGTTTAAATATCTCCATTTTACAAAATTAAGAAACCAAGAGTCTTCAAGATTAAGTAATTTTTCTAATGTGCCTGAAGTTAATCAGGCAGAGGCACCTCCAAGTCAGTCTGGTTCCAAAGTCTATGCTCTTAACCACACAGTAATTACAAGTAGATTTTTAGCAGTGGTGCCGTGTCCAATCCAAATCTCAGAGAGAGAGAGCAAACTGAGTTTGACGATTGGGGTCTGGACGATTGCAAACATTGATTCCAGGAAAAGGAAGGAGCTCAGAGTATAAACTTTACATTGTAGTAAGGGTTAAATGGAGACTGCTAGAACTTTTATCTTGGCCTACAATATCTGGAGTTTGATTAGAGCTGACACAAACTCCTCCTCCACAAATTTGGGTAGGAATAGACGTGCTCTATGTACAGAAAGAGAAGAAGGAGTTTCCCAAATAGGCTCAAGGATATTAAGCGGGCAATAATAATTAAACAGGAAACACTCTGAACTCCTACAGTCAAGAGGGATTAAATGGTGTCATTTGGGATGTCTTGGTGTCAGTAATTTTCCAAAATGAGAGATTGGTTTTTAGCTTGGACACCAACTAAGAAGTGACTTTTCCTCACTGCTATGCTCCCCATCGCACAGTAGAGCAGAAAACAACGTAATTGGCTCATACAAATTGCAGCTGGTCTGCACAAGAACAAAGAAAGTATATTTTTAAACAAAGTTTTAATTTTTATTGTTTATTTTTTCAGAATAAAAATGCAAATAAATTTTAATAGTCACTTATTCTTGCTTCCAAGTGATTTAGCACAGCCCCCTCTTGATTCTAAAGACTTGGTGTTCCATTGTCAATCACTCAGGAAAGACCCATTCTGAAATGCATTGTTTGGTGGTCGGTTTTGTGATGAAACTAATGTGTAGAAGATTAAGCATGTCTGTGCTTACCACATGGTCATTTCCTAGGGGAGCCCTGTGTGCACAGAACCACAAGATACACTGCTTCATCCCACTATCACTGGGCAAAGCATTTCTGAGTCACCAGTTTCTTCACAGCAACCTTCACATCCTTGTTTCTGAGGCTGTAGATGATGGGGTTGAGCATGGGGGTCAGTGCTCCATAGAAGAGAGAAATGAGCTTGTCTGAAACATCCTGCTTGTCCACTCCCAGGGGGTCCTTTGATTTGGGCTTTGCGTACATGAATAGGATAGTTCCATAGAAGATGACCACCACAGTAAGGTGGGCAGAGCAGGTGGAGAAGGCCTTTTGCTGGCCCTCAGCTGAGGGAATCCTCAGGATGGTGGTGAGGATGAAGATGTAGGAGACAAAGATGAACAGGACTGGGACCCCCAGGAAGATCACATTGGCCACCCCCATGCTAATCACATTGATGGAGATGTCAGCACAGGCCAACTTCAGGACAGCCAGGATCTCACAGGTGAAGTGGTTAATGACATTGTCCCCACAGAAGGGTAATTGTACTGCAAGAGAGATCTGCACCAGGGAGTTGGCTCCCCCAGCCACCCAGGAGCTGGCAGCCATGGGCACATAGGCAGCCTTGCTCATGACCACGGGGTATCTAAGGGGGTTGCAGATGGCCACGTAGCGATCAAATGCCATCATACCCAGAAGCACACACTCTGTGGCTCCCATGGCAAAGGAGAGAAACATCTGTACAGCACAGCCTGAGAAGGAGATGGTTTTCCTGGGAGTGAGGAAGCCATCCAGGACTAGAGGGATGGAAGATGTTGTGTAGCAGATGTCCAGGAAGGAGAGATTCCCCAGGAAGAAGTACATGGGCGTATGCAGCTGGGAGTCAAGAATGGTCACCAGAATGAGAATCCCATTGCCCAGGAGGATCACCAGGTACATTGACAGGAGGAGCACAAAGAACGTTGTCTCCAGCTTTGGCTGATCTGACAGACCCAACAAGACAAATTCTGCCACAAGAGATTGGTTGGCCACTTCCATTTTAAATTCTCTCTTGTACCCTCAGGAAAACTGAGGACAGCAAACACGTGATTACAGAGATCAATATCTGGGAATTACAATGACATACTTCCATAACTTGTCATTAAATTTATCCTTTGATGTGCCAACTTGTAATATCAGTGTCTAAGGGATAAAATTCACTGTCTACTGGAGTTTATTAAAAGTCAGAATATATCGAATCGAAATCAGGAAAAGCAGACCCTGGAAATCTAATCAAACCATGATATATGAAATAGTTTTAGCCAGAGCAATAGCTAACACACTTAAAAGAAGGGATGTGTAAGTTGCAGCAACCCAGAGCAGTGTGTAAGGATGGGTGTACATGGGGCCCATGAAAAGGAACCCTGAGTTGTACTGCATGGGTCCAGCACTAACCAGGGAAGTGGGATCCCCTGGCCAGATCTGCCTGTCCCTGAATTGTTGCTGCGGTGTTCTTGGGGGCTTCAGGCTGCCCTACTCAGTGACGCTGGCCACTGGCATCACCTCACTCACTCCCCCGGCTCCAATTCTGGGCTTGTATAATAATTTTTTGATAATTAGTCTGCATCGAGTCCTTTATGGAGGGAATGTGATAGGCAGAGGCCAGGAAGATGAGAATCTGCTCAGCATTTACATCTGTTACTTGATGCCTGATTCCCACTTTGCTTCTTGTGAGTTTGGTTGGTGATCCCCCTTCGTTGCACCATCAGTAAGGAATTTCTGGCCAAAAGACTATGGAGATCCTGAGAGAAGGACTTCCACAGCCCTTCTCTCTACCCATGGCCTTTGTCCACAGCACTGCAGTTCCCTCAGTCTACTCCAGTCCTCGGGGATGGGGAGGAGGGATAGAATCCAAGGACAAGTGTCCCTCATGCCCCTCAATGTGAGCATCTGTGACTTTGTGACCAGCCTCTGTGGTTTTGGAGCTGGTTTGTAAGTCATGACTCCTAACTTAGACCCTTTAATATCTGAGCTGACCATTAAAGCCACTTCAATGCCACAGTGATGCTTTTTCCCTCACAGAATAGCTGACAATTCTATCCAGGCTTGCAGAGGGCTCGCTTAAAGGAGGCACTGCACACAGGATGCACCTCAATAACTGCAGAAGTTTAGGTCCAGTACATTAGAGAAAACCTCAAGCCTTGAGTTCTCATGTTAAAGATGAGGAAACCAAAGCTTAGAGAAGTTCACAGGTGGTAAGGACAGGGCCAGGACTGGAGGCTGTTTCCTCACATTCTCCCTAGGGCTCCTTCCCTTACCACTCTGCATTCTTGCTCCTGCACTTGTGTCATAGCAGGTCTACTGAGGAGCAAAGGATGGATTATGAAGTCTTGGTCATCCTTGCTTTCCTTAGGACACATGAAAAATTGCAGTGTCACAACTTTCTCCAAGAGATCTGCCTCATAGCAGGGCATGGGTGGGTGGGAGTGTCCCTGGGCTTCATGCATTGCTTCTGTGACTCTTACATTGTTGCTGGTTGAAACAGTGGTTGGAGAAACCAGACAGAATCGGAAGCTATCCCCATGCAATTATCAGAGGAGATTAACTGTGGGCATTGGGAATATTTGGGGGAAAGAGGTCTATTTTTAGAGATAATACCATTGCCTGAAGAATCTCAGACTTAGCAGGAATGTTGTAAAGTAACTGGTCTTGCCTCTTTCCCCTCCTTTGTGTGAATACCTTCTATGAAACACAATTTTCCCACTTCTGCTTTGAATACCTTGAGTTATGTGAGAGCACAACTCCAACTCCTTTGTCAGATAGCCTTGATTTTTGGGAAGTTTTCCCTTACATTAACCAGAAACTTTCTTCCAATGTTGTCCCCATTCTTCACCCTCTGTCCCATCCCCACACTGGTCTAAACTCTCAGGACAGCCTGCTCCCTCCCCTTATAAAATCCCTTCAGAGACATGGAAGCTGTGGCCAGGTCCCCACTTGCAACCCCTTTTTTTCTTCTACCCACCTACCTGAAGAAGGCTTGGCCACAGAGAGAAGTCAGTCTATGTCCAGTGTGGGGAAGAGGCCATGGTAGGGAAATCAGCTCACCCGGACAGATTGTCTCATGGCAGGGAGGATGCTGGAAGACCTCCAGGTCTGGGAGATGATTGCTTCAACTGCCCACCTTGATCATCCCCCATCTGTGGAGACTGTGCCTAGAAGCATGCAGCATATTCTGTTTAGCTATCTTGGAGTTAAGCCATCCCTTCAAATTTCACAGCAAGGTAAAGAAAATTTAAGGTTGGTCACAGCTGAAGGGGCTCTAGCTGCTTCCCTTCCTGGCCTTCTCCGTGCCCAGTCAGATAACAAGAGGAAGGACAACTCAAGGAGCTGCATCCCAGTGGTCTCAGCAGCCATGCCCAGCCTGCATGCTCAGGGTAGACACCCTCTGCTCTCTGCCCCTTGCTCTCTCTTCAGAGGTTCCATAAAGGAGCCATGGAGCAATTTAGAGCTCTGGTTGTTTGGGGCCAGTTTTAATCCCAGAAGCAATTTAAAGTTTGGTAGAGGCCTCACAGGAGTTTAGGGCCTATGTCCCATAAACCCAATTAGATGAGTCACAGACAGTTCCACATAAATCCTAACTCTCACTACAAAGAAATGCTCCTTATAGTAGAAAGTTACCATCCTGTCCTTGCTGACCCTCCTGGAAGGAGAGGAGATAACTGAGGGCTGACTGTGCTTTGACCACAATGCTATCTGTTAAATGCACTCATCTTTGCAAAGCTAAGTGTTAGAACAAGAAGTGGAAGGTTTGCCTTGGCCCCAACCAACACCCTGGTGCTCCACATGCTCCGGAGAAGCTGGCTCTCACTGCAGTTCCTCTGCACTGTGTAGAGTTGACCAGGTCTGGCCTTTGCCCCTAAAAACAGGAAACAAGAGACATGCACCACGGGCCAGCACCAGGCACTAGAAAGAGAGCAGAAATGACAAAGGGGGCCTCCAACCTCCAGAAAGGTCCTGGTGACAGCTACAGTCTGTAGTTGATTGCCAAGTGCCCCTAAGTTGTATGGGAGCCCAGAAGGGGCAAAGAGTCAAGGGAGGGAGGTCAGAGCAGTTTGGACCAACTAGGAAGTGACTTTATCTGCCAGAGATTTTCAATACTGCCCTCTGCTTTGCTATAGTACAGTATGGAACAAGGATTACTGACCGAAGCAGAGAACATGAGGACAGAAGAGAGCACTGGGGTTGGTGAGAGAGTGACAAGGTCAAGTCCTAGAGAAAAGCAGCTGTGGAGATACAGGCCAGGCAGGCAACTAGCATTTTGCTAGGAGCTTCTGTTTCATTAGAGATCTTTGGTGGCAAGGAACAGGGAGCCTTTCAGGTAACGTTGGCTGGGGTGAGGGAGGTGAGAGTCAGTATGGAACATGGCCATGTGAGCTCAGCGGGCCTGAGGATGGGAATGTCCCCTTCCAAGTGGATTAGTGGGAGGCAGGGAGGAGTGCGGAGCCTTCTATTGAGCCCAACCTCTATCAAAAGCCACTGGTAAAGACTGGTCGTAAAGAGAAGTAGGATGATTTGCTAATAAGACTCTGGGTATTAATTCCTACTTGGTAAGAAGAAGATGGGAGATGGTGCCAGAGTTCTATGTATGTCCTTGTCGTCTGTACAGGAATCATGGTCCGTGTGACCACAGGGGAAATGCACAGACTTCTCGTCGGTTGTAAAGTGTGGGTTCAGCCCCTCTCCACCACTTCTTTTGTCGTTTTCATAAAGATGGAGGAAAAGAAGCCCCGGAGCCCCCTGGTTGGGGCCTCTACAGCCTACAGACTACCTCAGGCTTCAGGCTAAACTGCATGCTTTGGATTTTCTCTTAGGGAAGTCTCACCCATCTGAGCCCTCACCTAGACCCTTTGTAGAAGTCCACCAGCCACACAGGCCACATCTCTCTGAGCAGAAGGGGTGTGGGGGCAAGAGAAAGTTGAAAGGTAACTGCGGAAAGACACTTGTGTGCCTTACTGAGTACCTGTGTGCTAATTACTTATTTTGGTGCTGCAGACAAATATATCTAGAACTAACAAGTCCCTCTCTAGACGGTCCCAGGCCGGGGAACTCTTACCTTTGGAAGTCCCACCGCACATCTTGTCAAAATCCACCTACATCCCACTTTAAGTATAATTTTGTGGTAAATTTGAAATGATTTTTCTTCTTCTGTTATTAAAATTACTTGGCTTAGAAGTGACTCACTCAATTTATAATTCTATGATTTCTTAACAATTGGGAAGAAAACTCAGGAGTTCTCACAAAGTGAAAGTACCTAACTACAGATTGTTTTTATATATGAGGCATGAATACAAAAATTTATCCATTACTGAGATTGACATAATGTTCTGTTTTGTAGGCATGTAAATAAACAGTTGTAGGTTTTCACCACTAACGGAAAGTTCACTTTACACCACTTCACTTTTACAAAAGACCCACATTAGTACCTGTTTTCAGTAACTGAAAGAAATCCAAAGAGGATTTTCACTTTTACAAAACAGTTGAAAAGCGAAAATAGTGTTCAGCGTTTGTTTTGCAGTGAGCCGTTATAGAGGCTAAGCAGTCAAGCATACTGTCATATTTCAAACCTTCCACATCAGCCACATCAGCCACAGCGCATGACGAACCTCGACTTTTGACATGGAGGCAGGCAGACATAGAGGAAGGTGTGGACATTAGTGACCAGCCTGCCCTGATGGATTCAGATGATGATGGGATGTTATCAGATGACCCTCTTCCTCTCTTTCCCACACCCTTGTCTCCTGTAGCTCCCACCACCCAAAACTCTGAGGACTCAGCCTAACATCCTGTCACCACCACCACCTCTCAGCCTTCCAGTGTACTCACCGTCTTCCTGATTCTGGTAAGTGAAGCTACACTGCGCATACATTATTTCTACTTTCTGGAGACTGTATATTTATCATATCATACCTGCTTTTACTATATGAGTTACTTTACTATATAGGGTTATTTTAGGTTTTATGTGGTAGGTTATCTTTTGGGTCTTGGAATGCTCAAAAATTTTTCTCATATAAATTAATGATAATTGCTTCTTTGCTTTACACCATTTCAAAAAGTTTCATAGGAATGCTCTACTTTTGGATAGCAGGGGAAACCTGTATTAAGATTTTTTAAGGGTTTTTTGTTTTGTTTTGTAGTTAAGAGCCAACAGATTTTTCAGATCTGAAACATCTCTGTTCTTGGAGAAAACTCCATAGACCTGACTACTACACCCTCATGCCCAGGAGTAAAACAGCCCTGCTGACTCTGCTTAGGAGTAAAGACACTTGTAGGGGAAATGCAAATTAAGATCCATTTATAGAAATGAAAAGTAAAGAAATTTAACTTAGAAAATTGTTTAGGGGATAATTTTTCTTTGTATAGACAAAAGAAATTCTTTGATTTACTTTACTTGGGAGTCAATGTGCAGGACACATCTGAGAAGGACACATCAGTAACACACACATAGTTCACACATCCGTGCCCAGATTGACGGCTGTTCTCTTTCGTAGGTTGTGTTTCCCAGGAAGTTGACCCTGATGGGGAGATTTTCACTCAGGATGTTTACTGGGGAGTGCTCTTTTTCCTTTTCTTTTTTTTTATTTCAGTAACATTGGACTATAACATTATATAGCTTTCAGATGTACGTCGTAATATATGTCGAATTCTGTGTAGATTACATCATGTTCATCACCCAAAAACTAATTATAGTCCATCGCCACACGTGAACCTAATCACCCCTTTTGCCCTCCCCCCTCCCCCCTTCCCTATGGTAACCACCAATCCAATCTCTGTTGCTGTGTGTTTGTTTGTTGTTGTTTTTATCTTCTACTTATGAATGAGATCATATGGTATTTGACTTTCTCCCAGATTTATTTTGCTTAGCATAATACCCTCAAGGTCCATCCATGTTGTCACAAATGGCTGGATTTCGTCATTTCTTATGGCTGAGTAGTATTCCATTGTGTATAAATACCACATCTTCTTTATCCGTTCATCCCCTGATGGGCACCTAGGTTGCTTCCAAATCTTGGATATTGTGAATAATCCTGCAATGAACATAGGGATGCATGGATCTTTATGCATTTATGTTTTCAAGTTTTTTGGATAAATACCCAGCAGTGGAATAGCTGGATCATATGGTAGATCTATTCTTAATTTTCTGAGGATAATCCATACTACTTTTCACGGGGAGTGCTCTTAAGATCAACAGTTGTTGGGTGGAGGCAAAGGAAGCTCTCAAGCTGGGATGGCCCTTTAGAGATCTCCCCATTTGAAGCAAGGAGGATCAAGTCTTTATATTGACACTGACTAATCATTGGAAGTAGGCTACCTCTGAGAAGGGTGTATGACTTTGAGTGATGTAACTCTCTTGGGCCAAGGGTAAGCCAGCAGAGGGATTCAGCTGAATGCTGTCAGCTACCAATACTCTCAGGAGCTGGGGTAACAAGACCTTCAACCCTAGGTGGGGTGGGGTGGTCTGGGCAGTACATTCAACACAGCCTCCACCACACACTCTTAGCCAATACTTCTTAAAGTTTAACATGCATATAAATCATCTGAGGAATCTTGTTCAAATGCATGTTCCAATTTGGTAGGTCTTGAATGGACCCCAAGATTCTGCATATCTAATAAGCTCCTAGGTGATACTGACACTGCTGATCTATGGACTAATCTGTGAGTAGCATGGCTCTAACTCAATTTGCTCCTCATAAACCAGTACTTTGAATTGAAATTCTCAAGTTAATCAGAGTGTGTGGGTCATGGGACATATCCCACCATCACTGGGTGAAGCATTTCTGAGCCACCAGGTTCCTCATAGCAGTATTAACATCCTTGTTCCTCAGACTATAATGGATGATGGGGCTGAGTTGGGGGTCAGCACTCCATAGAAGAGGGAGATGAGTTTGTCTGAAAGGTCCTGTTTGTCTGCCCCCAGGAGGTCCTTTGATTTGGGCTTCTCATACATGAATAGGATGGTTCCATAGAAAATGAGCTCCATGGTGAGGTAGGCAGAGCAGGTGGAGTTGGCCTTTCGCTGTCCCTCAGCTGAGAGAATCCTCAGGATGGTGGTGAGGATGAAGATGTAGGAGACAAAGATGAACAGGACGGGGACCCCCAGGAAGATCACATTGGCCACCTCCATGCTAATCACATTGATGGAGATGTCAGCGCAGGCCAACTTCAGAACTGCTAGGATCTCACAGATGAAGTGGTTGATGACATTGTCCCCAGAGAAGGGCAATTGCACTGCAAGAGAGATCTGCACCAGGGAGTTGGCTCCCCCAGCTACCCAGGAGCTGGCAGCTGTGGGCACATAGGCAGCCTTGCTCATGACCACAGGTTATCCAAGGGGGTTGCCGATGGCCACATAGTGATCAAATGCCATCATGCTCAGGAGCACACACTTTGTAGATCCTGTGGCAAAGGAGGGAAACATCTTCACAGCACAGGCTGAGAAGGAGATAGTTTTCCTGGGGGTCAGGAGGCTGTCGAGAATAAGGGGGACCAAGGAGGTTGTGTAACAGATGTCTAGGAAGGAGAGGTTCCCCAGGAATAAGTATATGGGAGTGTGCAGGTGGAAGTCAAGGATAGTCACCAGGATGAGGAGTCTGTTGCCCAGCAGGGTCACCAGGTACATTGACAGGATGAGCACAAAGAATATTTTCTCTAATTTTGGATGGGCCAAGAGGCCCAGCAAGACAAATTTCTGTCACAGGAGATTGGTTGGACACTTCCATCTCAAACTTTCTCTTCCATCCCTAGAATATTGGAGGCTGGTATTACATATTTATTTTTTAATGGCTTGCTTGGGTCAGTATGCAGGGATCACAGTATGATGTCCCTAAAATTGTAAATAAACTCATCTTATGGAATTCAATTATAAAGCCAAGTTATCTAAAGCAAGGCTGTGTATCAATCTAAAGCATGAAGAGCAGACATGGGAAATCTAATGAAGTAATAAAACGAGAGATATTTCTAAGCACTGATATTAATATACCTGAGGCAAAATTGTATGTCTTCATAAGCTGTGTGTCTCCAGCACTTTCCAAGGAAGCAGGGGCCTCTGAGTAACTCTGTCTCTGTCATCTAATTGGGGATCTCAGGCTATCACAGCTCAGTGACCCTGACCATTGAGGTCATGTGACCCATTACTCTGGATCTAGCTCCTCCTTGCCCAGCAAGTGTCTATCATAGTTCGACCTCCCACACGATCTTATAGGGAAAGAATGTGCTGGCTTGAAAACATAAAGTATCTTTTCTAACAATGTTGTTTCTTACACAGTATCTGCTTCATACCTCTGTGTTTTGTGAGTTTAGTTAGTGTGAATAAGTTCACCTGATCTTGACCCTCTTCTCTGAATCTTCTGACCAGATTGAATTTCTGGAGTTTTTAAGGTGGAGTGCCCCCCAGAGTTACCAGAAATCTGATCTGCAAAGCAGCCTTGTGTGTTGCCTTCTGTAACCACATCTGACCTGCCTGTACCTCTGCTGCTCTGGGACTTGGCCCAAGAAGTAGAATCTTACCTGATGGTTGGAGCCCACTCGTAATTGACATCCCCAGCTTGGGTTGAGTGGGGCCTTGAGTCACACTCCATCCAGTGCCATTTAGATGCTTTGCAGACATCATCACATGTAAACCTACTCAGCCTCCCAGAGCATCCAAAGCCCCACTATAGATCACAATTTTACTGCTAAACAGATTAGGAATGCCAGATGTCATCAGGCCCTGCCGCAGGGGGCCCAAAACAGCATCCAGCTGACTGTCTAATAGCTGCCCAAGGGCTGGTTAAAATGCCAGTTTCTGGGTCTTAGCTTTGCAGATGGCCTTGGAGATCAATTTTTTGTTTTTTAAATAAATGGTCCCCATGTACTTCTGATGCACACCAGTCTTGGGAATCACTTACCTCTCCGTTTAGAGGTGGAGAAACTGAGGTCAAAAAAGAGGTTTGTGAATGGCACGTGGCCCTGAAGAGGGGTGCTTTTTCCGATTGATAATGTTACCACGTCCAAAAGAGGTTATCTCGGGATATCAGGAATTAAGGGATGGGGATCATTTTTAGAGAAAGGCTCCTTTAGTATCAGAGAGTGCAGAATTTGAGGTTTAGCAGAATCTTCAGATATAAACCAACCCAGTCCCCTCCTCTACCCCGTCTGTTACAGGATCCTCTCTTCAGGCAGTGATTTCTCTGCCTCTGCTTGAACATTTTGAATAACATAGGGGCCCATGGCTTCCAGTGCTGTTATCTGGCAGGCTGGGCTGTTAGAGGTCTTCAGGGACCTGGTATCTGCCTTTTTCTAACTTTTCCCTTTCTCCTCTTGTCTCAAGTCTGCCTCTGGGTTTAAGGCAAAACAGACCTGCTCCATTGCCACAGCAGCAGCCTTCAGAAATAGTTGCTTTGTTCCCCAGCCCAATCCTCCCCCTGCACAGCCCTCTTTGCATCAGCTTCTTTCCTTCTCTCCCATCTGGTGAAGAGCTGGCCATAGAGGTTGCCTGGCACTTACCCAGCATGGGGTCCCATCCAGGCTGGGTCTCTTGCTTGCAGGAAGGCAGGCCAGTGGAACGGGGAGGTGGCTGGTTTACAGGGGCCAGAAGAGGTGACAGTCTGTCGTGTCACCTGCAAATCTGGCTGCTAAACAAGCAGGCCATAAAGACCATACCTCTCAGAGCTGTTCCAGCAATACGTGGGTACACAGTCTTAACACATGCTCTTTAGCTGTGTTTGACTTCTTAATACCCCTAAGTGACCGTGGTGTAGAGGAGTCCAAAGTACAGCCAGAGCTCACAACTCACAGAAGCTAGAGCTGCTCACAGTGCCCTTGCCTGACCTTGGGGCTTGGTGAGACAAGGAGACAAACGCTCACTTGCAAGGCTGAGGCTCAATCAGGAGCCCCAGCCTGGGGGAGGCTGCACTCCAGGGTGGACCAGCAAGCCATTCCCAGCTACTGGGCCCAA